ATATATATATATATATATATATATATATGATAAATACGGAAGCCCATCTTACTGTGCGCAGCCCTATGAAGCTAGGCATGTTACGTACGCATGCACATGGAGCTCATTCATGTTCCACAGATCTTGTTAAATCCTGTGATTTTGAGGCCAAGTATTTCGGAACAACACGCAAAATTAACTCGAGTTGGTTGCTGACAACCATCAGAACCAAGCACAGACTTGATTCCTAGCTTCTGTACGGCTAGCCGGCTGGGTGATGCAATCAGCTGATGACTGATGGCTAATGCACAATTTTTCCTTCGTTATGAAGAAACACAAATATCTTAGCATTCAAAATACGTTAAGAGCGTGATGCACTAGCATAATAAGTGTCACACACTCAAACGACAGTGGGAATGACACACGTGATGTCGGCGGCACGTAATATCACGGTTGACAATTGAGCATAAAAATTCATCGGCGCATATTCGACTGCCGCTCTAAGGCGAAAGCTCCAAGACCAATAGGGACGGAACCTGAGCCATCATAGGTGCCTCAGGAGGCTAAAAAAGTGGCCCCCGTCAACATGTATAGGCTCCTCAGAGCAATCGAAAAGAACCCAAGACCAACGTGGTGGGCCCCGAAACGATCGGTAGTGCCCCGGCAGGCTGACGTATAAGGCCCAGGCCAGATCACAGTACCCTCTAAGCAAAGGAAATTATCCAAGACCATGAGTACGATGTGCGACCATGTACGATCAAGAGTGCACGGGCAAGCTAAGAGAAAGAGCCTCGATGGCAGTGAAAAGTCTTCCGCAAATGGGATCGAAGAGAAAAAGCTCTCGATCAAAGGAGAGGGCCCTTGAGCATCAGGTGTCTCGGTGCCTTACCTTTTAAGCGCCCCAGAAATAGCACAAGGCCTTCCAGGCATGTCGACAGCACCCGATACTTATTTGAAAGGCCCTGAACAACTAGTTGTACCCTGGCATATGGGACCCCGGAAAAAGCATGTAGAGCCTTTCGGGCGAATGGGAAGAATCCGTGGAGGAAAACCTGCATCGACCGAGAGTGCCCAGACATGGAGGCAGATAGCGTCCCAACGGCAGCGTTAGGCGCTACGAGAAAGTGCAAAGAGATCAAGGGAAACGTGGAAAGCTGCTTGGCGATGAGCTTGACCCGGCAAATGGACATGCAGGGCCATGGCAATAAACAGCGTAATGCCTCTAGACAGAGCAATGGGCCCCAAAAGGTCCCCCAAGCAACACCTTCTCAACCAGTGAAGAGTTAACTTCATCTGCTTATGAACTCTTTAATTTTACTAGCAATTGTTATCGGTCGTCTGCAGGTACAAAGGCGTCCAATTTTCTCGTGTTTTGTTGTCTGTAGAAAACTGCGTCCGTTCGCTTGGTTATGGATTCCTCCGGAGCCTTTAGATCCCCTCGGCATGGCCCATGGCGGCATGGTCCCGTGCCTTGAGCCACCTTCTGCGTGCGCCACCGTCCTGAGCACCTTAACAGATGGGGTTCGCCAAGAACACACGGCCATCTACTCAGATGATAAATACTCACGACACAACGTGTAGGGTTCCGGCCTATCGAGTATGTCCGAGCAGGTTAACATATACGGCCCCCGTCAAGAGCGTAGATCCCTCCATCCAAGTGGGAAGTACTCAAGACCCAATGTAGAGAGCCCCAGAATGATCGAATGTACCCAAGCAGGTTAACAGATAGGGCTCCCAACAAAAACGTAGGGCCCTCCATTCAAATAAGAAAACCCAAGACCCAAGGAAGAGGGTCCCCGAATGATCGAGTGTGCCACAGCAGGTTAACATATAGGGTCAGGAGCATAGGGCCCTTCACTTAAAAAGGAAACACCCAAGACCCGATGTAGAGGGCCCCCAAATGATCGCGTGTGCCCGGGCACATCATTAGATGGCTCCGACAGGGGTGTAGGGCCTAAATTCAAACACCATGACCCACTACACAGAGCCCCGAACACTCCAGCGCGACCGAGGAGGCGAACAGGTGGGTTCCCGACAAGTGCGCAGGGACCCTCCATTTAAATAGGAAATACCCAGGACACAATACGGGGGGCCCCGAATAATCGAATGTGTCCGAGTATGTCAACAGATGGGGCCCCCGACAAGAGCGTAGGGCCTTCCGTTCAAATATGCAATGTCCACAACACGATGTAGCGGGCCTCGAATAATCAAATGCGTCAGAGCAGGTTTACAGATAGGGCGCGTAAAAAGAGGAGGAACCTCCATTTAAATGCGAACTACCCAAAACTAAATGTAGGGGTCCCTCAACGATCGAATGGGCCTGATCATCTTGTCAGAAAGGGCCCTGAAAAGCGTAAAGCTCTCCATTTAAATCAGAAGTACCCAAAACCAAGTGCGGCGGGCCCCGAAAGATGGAGTGTACTCGAGCAGGTTATCAGATGACCCCACTAAGAGCACTGGACCCTAAATTCAAACACTAAGACCCAATGTACAAGGTCCCCCGAACAATCCAGCCTGGCCGAGGAAGCAAACAGAGGGGGCCCCGACAAGTGCGTAGGGCCCCCATTGAAATAGGACGTGTCCAAGATCCAATGGAGGGGGCTCCCGAACGATCAAATGTGCCCGAGCAGGTTATCAGATAGGCCCCCACAAGACCGTAGGTTCCCCTCCCCAAAGTAAGGTAAGAAGCACCCAAGACCCAATGTGGAGGATCCCCAAATGACCGAGTGTGCCCAAACAATCTATGAGATGGGCCCCCAATAAGAGCGTGGGGCCCTAAGCATGCGACAGAGAGCTGGAAGTGCCCTAGACCAATGTAGGGGGTCCCTAAGTATATCGCGGGGTGTGTCGGTAGGTTAACCGAAACCCACGTAAAGGGCCCCTAAGCAACCGAGAGTACTCAGGCAGGTTAAGATATGGGGTCCCGCTTATCGTCCACAGAGCCTTTCTGGTGAGTGGGAAGAATCCGTGGAAGGGCGCTTGATTGACAAGATTGCCCTGGCACGCTAGCAGGAAGGGCCCGGCAACAGCGCAGAGTTCTCCGAGCAAATGCAAAGAAATGAAGGACAACGTGGAAGGCTCTTTAACGATCGGAATGACCCTGCAAGTGTGCATATAGGTCCCCCGGAAACAGTATAGGGCCCCTAGACGGTGTAATGAGGCTTAGAATTCCCAGTTCACAACTTTTTCAATCATTGAATATTTTTTTACTTATCGTGGGCCCTTCACCTTTGTTTGCAACTATTATTGGTCGCCTGCAAATCCATGGATGCTCAATTTTATTGCGTTTTTTTGTTGTTGTTAAAACCTGTGCCTGTTCGGTCGGCTACGGGTCCCCTTGGAGCCAGTGGAAGGCCTTCGAGACGCAAGGGGGGCCATGACCCCGCCCCCCCTCCCTGGATCCGCGCCTGTTGTTGGTTGGGGAATATATTTCAGGCACAATGCAGACACCATACCTCAAACAAACGTGAAAATAATGATGAAAAATAGTTTTAAAAATGTGCATGAACGAATATGTATAAAAATGCTTCTGCGGGATATGCGGCATGCTAAGCGGCTCTCTCGACTTGGACGCATCTTCGGGGCGATCACCTTTGCATGTAGCTCAATTCATCGCACCATCTGAAAACAAACACATCTCAACCTCTTTATGTCCACATTTCAGCTTCATAGTGCTCCCAGGAATGCTTTCAAAACTTGTGCGAGCCGAAGGCATCGGTACCTGCTCGCTGCTGGTCCGATCAACAGAAAACAGACCGGGCCGCAACTCACCTAAGAGCATCACAGCGTCACAGACAGGGGCATTTGTCTGCTGCAGCACGTGCTACGACCTGCAGACCCCACCATGCTGCACTGCTCACGTAGTTTTTCAGTGACTTGGTTGGGCGTTTAGCTATGCGGTTGTGCGGTAGAGGTGATAGGCGGTAGAGGCGACTTATGACTTTTCCGGTTCACTGCCTGCATTCTTTGCATTTATCGAGGGTATAAAACAAGCGGGAGAGGCTTCATTAAGAAGCAACGACGAACATTTTCGCAGCTTGCGATTGATAACATCGTCGCATTGTGGCTTCGTGCTGTATATTAGTAGCAGCTGGCTCACGCCCGTCTCCCAATGCTTAATTATTGTATAAAATCTCATCAAAAGAACGTGACCAGCCTGAATGATGATACAACTTGCCTTGTCTCTAAGGCTTGTGGGATGTTTACGGCACACTTTGTATGCTGAGTTACCCTAAGATGTTACCGCCAGCTTGGATGCACCACCGAAATGCGTCAATTCTGATTTAGATCGCAACTTAAGTTCATCGCCCACGTCCTTTGCACTAATACTGTTGCGCACAGCAGCCACCTTTCACAGCCGCAATCCTGATGCCGTTTTCTCGAACTAGCGCCCATTCCAGCACGCCCTCCCTGGGCCGGGTGCAGTGGCGTCCGTTCCGGCGGCAGCGTCGGCCACCCGCGCTGCGCCGGTCGTTCGACCTCCTCCCGGGCTCCAATCTCAGTCTCTTGACGTCATCACCCATTAAGCATTCGTCGATGGTGCGGACGAGCGTCATCGCTCATCAGCGCCGCAGGACGGCCGCCTCGGGTCGGCGACGCGCTCGTATTGCGGGCCGCCGGCCGGCGGCCGAGCACGTAACGACGGCCGGCGCTGACGGCTGGCCAGCGGTGGCAGCGCGGAGCCTCGCTGCAATGGACGCCGGCCATGTGCAGACGTGTCGGCCATGCAGAGCGGGGATGGACGCTCGATCGCGTTGGCAACGGCGAGGCAATTTAAGCGGAGATGGGGCTCGCGCCGACTCCAGGGCCGTTAAGGCCATGAGAGGAGGAGCTACTCGGCAACGTAATGGCTAAAGAAGATCGTCGGCACGTTAGCAGAGTGGCTTAAGCTTATAGTTTCCGATTTATTGCAGCCTTGCAGAAGCTGTTAAATGAAATTGGCAGCATTTTTAGCACTGACGAGCTCACGCGTAAGGGCGCACCCTTGCTGTGTTGATGCTGACTGTCCCGCTCTTTTGCAGGCGGTATTTGTGGCGCACCGGGTCCGAGGTGGCCCGGGGAAGGTGGTGACCCAGCAGTGGATTCCGCACCACGTGCTGCGCATGTCCACTGGCAGCGCCGACATACAGCCGCCTGGCGGCCGCGCCGGCGACGGCACCTCCGAGCCCATTCGGATCAAGGTGAGCCCTGAGGCCTGCGCTGGCCAGATTAATATGGGTCCTGAGGTTGGCGCTGTCCGGATCGGCGTCGTCCGTCCGTGGTTAAAAAGACGAATGACGTCGAGAAATCTTACGCCGTTTTCTACGGGGAAGGGGAGGGGGCCATGCAACTCTTGGCTGGGGGCCAGGCTCGAGCCACACGCCTTGCCATTGCGAGGCGGACACTCTCCCAGCTGTGCGACACCGTCCCCAGGTCGATAAGGATCGATGCTGGTCCCGCCGCCTAGCCCCCCCCCCCCCCATTATGGGGGTCCCACTGTCCGGTTCATCCGGATCAAAGCGGGTGCTGCAGCCCAGCCGACTGGGTGTTGCCACCTAGCATGCCGGATCAATATGATACCTGCTGTTCAATCTATTGGAACGGTTTCCCAATGTCAGGTCCGGTAGAGCGGTTGTCTGAAGGTGGGCTTAGGCGCCCGTTTCTCGCGGAAGTGCGCCCCTGGAGTCGCTGACTGCGGGGTGTTTCACGTTGGTCGTACCGCCCGCCCACCCTTTGGTCCTCGTTCTCTGCTGAAGTAAGCGCGGGAGCACCAGCAAGGTTCAGACGGGTCCCGCTTTGGTCCTCGTTCTCTGCTGAAGTAAGTGCGGGAGCACCAGCAAGGTTCAGACGGGTCCCGCTTTGGTCCTCGTTCTCTGCTGAAGTAAGTGCGGGAGCACCAGCAAGGTTCAGACGGGTCCCGCTTTGGTCCTCGTTCTCTGCTGAAGTAAGTGCGGGAGCACCAGCAAGGTTCAGACGGGCTCCGCTCTAGCTAGGTACCCGGCTGATTGTGCACGGCAACTGGTCACAAGCATTTTCTTATAGAACCTGATAGTCCTGGAAATTTGTCTTTACGTCCAATCGTTGGCGGCGCAAAAGCTTCCTGTGACAATGCATATCATGCCATCAACCACTATCTAGACAAAAACGCCATCATGCTGCAGTCGCCAAAAAAAGACACTGAATTTTCAGCCTGGATCAGAAAAAAATCGTCTCGTAATTCGAGCGTAGAAAAGTGGGTAACAACTCATAGGAAACGGCTCCCAGCTGGCCGACATTATTCTGTTTGGCCTTTAGCAAGTCGAAGCCATTAGCTTATCTTGATCAAAGCAATCCGCGCTGCGCGCGTCCCAGCAAAGTTAGCACAAGCCTTCTGATCGAAATGGCATCAAAGCGCCGCGGACCAGCTCCCAGAACCAAGACCGGTGATAACAACTTGGTTTCGATGCAATCAGGCGGGCGGCCTGGGCTGGCGCAGCACGCCTTATAACAAAGCTGACAATCCTGCAGACCTCCGCGGGCCGGGAACCGAGTCGGCAAACTCGGCACCGAGCGCAATCGTCTCCAGACGCAATTTAGAACTTCCCTGTCACTGTGCCGTCCCGGCTGCACCCTCCGGTCAACCCGCAAGCATACCGGATCGCTTATTTCGGACCACACCGGCCCAGAATAGCACACCTGTAAGGCGGCAGAGCGAGTCATGATGAGTGACGTCATTGTTACAGCATTGGATCCTTCCTGGGAACACGTGCGGATAATGGCCCAGACCGGACCAAACCAGACCGCATGCCGGGCCCGGTTGGCCGTGTTTGTTGGGTCATCAGCGCCCCGTTCGGCGGACAGGGCGTGTTGTGCCCGACAGATGTGGGCGGTGTGGGCTAGCAGTCTTATTTTAACAGTCAACGACAGCCATCTGAGAGGAGCCACTGCTACAGCAAAAGGAGCAAAAACGTTCCACTCTCAACAGCTTATGAGCCTTGAGCTATCCATTCATTAATAAAGAAAATCACCAAAGCACTTCTACAGACTTGAAACGGCTTTACAGCGTAATTTCTCTTTGGCGACCTTTCCCCTTACCTGGCGTCAGACCACCTCATTGCATTGCCTCAAAGTACCCTTGCCGCGACTCACACTCAGGCGACAACGAGCGGCTCGGCCATCGCCGTGCCCCGGCACCAAGCCTGCTGGCCGGGGTCACGTCCCCGACCCCGGCGGCGGTATGGCCCCAGCGTTCGCCGGTGTGCCCCCAGTCGCGCCGATCGAGCGGTGTCGGGCCATGCATTATGAAGTGGACTGCACAGTCGGCGTCGTTACGACGCCACCGTTCGGGCCGCGGCGGCCCGCGGCCTCCCGGTCTAAACGCTCCCGCCGGGCCGCCGGCAGGCCCGCGCTCAGCGCCCTTGGGAGGGGAGGCGCGCCGGCCCCGGGAGCGGCCACGGCGCGCGGACGGCAGAAGACGGTGGTGGAGTCGGGCTCCATGTGAGCACCCCCCCCCCCCCTCCGACTCCCCGGAAAGTTGAGTTGGTCGGCAGTGCTGCCTCCCACGCCTCCCCGGGAGTCCGCCAACCGTGCCGGTCGCCGGCAGGCGTATTTGCCTGGCGAGGCGGGGGGGGGGGGGGGGGGGGCAGAGATCCTCGACCCTTTCATCCGCGCACTGGACCGCACATTCCGGCAGTAGCGATGTTTGCAGGAGCGTGCCGCGCTCAAGAGCGTAATAATGAGGCCTCCGGATTTCAAAGTGCTCGTAAGCAGGCCAAATGAGGAGCGCGGGCAACGCTGTATCCCATTCCATCGCAAGCAAGGCCTCTCTCTCTCTCTCTCTCCTCTCTCCCTCTCTCTCTCTCCTCTCTCTCTCTCTCTCTCTCTCTCTCTCTCTCTCTCCTCTCTCCTCTCTCTCCTCTCTCTCTCTCGCCTCTCTCTCTCTCGCAGCATGTTTCCTGCGAACTGTTTATCAGCGAACATAGGCCCGTAAACGGGTAACAGCCCGAAGCCGTAGGGCGTGCTTGGCACGTCCACAAGTGCTGTGCCTACGTGAAGGTCACAAGTTCAAGGTCCGGATCGACCCCCGATGGAAATATGCCGCCGTTGCCAGCCCATGACCGGCTCAGCCTTCGGCACAGGCGGCCGTGGGATGCATCGACTTCTCCCAGGACTGTGTGTTTATGTCGATACGTATACATCGACCGCGTGTATACGCATCGGCGCATATATGCCGTTGATGCGTGATCTTCCACATATTGACGGATGTCTGCAGGGGGCGGGGATAAGCAGAAATTGGCAACCCGAATGTCAAAAATGGAGCTGTGCAACTGCCTGAAGATGTGGCGAAATTATTGCACCATATGTTAAAATGAGCTGAATGAAAAAACTGCTGCCTTAACAAGAGCCTTCCTCTCGTGTCCGTGCTACCATGGAACACCTCATTGTATGTGAATTGCGCCCAGAATGCAAGCATGAGATCTGACCAATGATAATGACACGGCCTCTACACCGGTGCATCACATGCTTGCAGGGTAACCCGCTTTACATTACATGCTTTGCCCTTAGATGAAAGGCAAGTGTTCAGCTGAACGCTGTGGCACTCAGGCTGCTAAGAGATCGAACCGATACTTCATACGAATCTTTATGGTCAAAAATTTCGCAGGCATGCCAGTCTTTGGCTGTTTCTGTCATGCCATCAATCTTAAGAATCTTGGCGACTTGCCAGCACGCGGCTGCCATCCTGCGCCCGGGCACATCAGCGTCATCTTGGTACGAATGCGGGTGCCGGCCTCGGGCTGCGGTGACGGCAGCGGTTGCCCCTCCTCTACCGCCAGGCCAAGGGCCTGCTGGAGCGGCGGTGCTCCAGCTCGTCGCTGACGATCCAGCTGCAGCAGGCGGAGGAGGACGGCGAACCCATCGTCATCGGATCCCCGGCCCGACAATGGTGAGACGGGCGGCGCCAGGCCGCTGGCTCCAGCCCCGCCGAACGGGAGCGTGCCCGCTCGGTACAGAGTCACAGGTGGTGCTGCCATGAAGTTACCCGAACAGCATACGGTAACGTTTGCTCCCACCTGTTCTCTGATGTTGGCTCAAATATATTGTCAGATCACACCAGCCGTCGTAAATTGGATGCTGCTCGCCTAAGTGTTATGACGCCAACCTGATTTGGAAGGAAACACGCTCCGACATGTCCGTGTAGAGTTTTGGTCACAGCGCCCCCTGTACAGCCATGGGCCTAATGCCTACACATTGTAATGGTTTGACGAAGGACTGGGGCGCCATCCAGTGGCGCCATCTGGTGACAATTTCGTAAGGTTCAGCTAGCTCGAATCGACTCCGCCAATTTAAATCATTTTCGGAAATAGTTGCTGATAAATGGCGCCTGAGTTCAAGGCTAACAATCACATAAGGCTGCATTCCAATATAGATCAATCTATTTCGATCATTTGCATAAATGCGAAATGCTTTCCGACCTATGGTTAGAAATTGATTTCAACACAATAGGCACAGCCATTCCAGTCGTAATAAATGCTTTTGGGGTGCACTGAGAATGGCCACTGACATTTTGTGAGAGCCCGATGAGCTTTAAGACTCTCTACCGTTTTTTTCAATTTATTGCTAGACAAGCTTTATCTAAACACGAATTTCAGCTTGGATGTGTCGTGATGCGGTTTCTAAACCAATGTCAAACATTCGAAATGCCTCGATGCATTTCCACCACCAGAACGACGAGCATAAATCTCACACATCTGACCAAGTCCTGACTGGTGCCTTATTGTTCGTCTGACCAGAACAAATAACATCCCAACACTCCATCCGTCCCACTCCATCCGGACGCGCTCGGGCGCGGCCGGCCCGAGCGCGTCCGCCGGTGTCCAGACATAATGCAGTCATCAGTCTGATCCCTGGCGGGCGGCCCTCCAGTCCCCATACCGCGGGTGCTCCCGGTGTAAGATACGGTCAAACCCGACATCATGCGTCGGCGCCGTGCCTCTGGCCCGGGCCGGCAGCCCACACCGTACGGGGCCGTTCACTGCTGACCGCTGCGCGAGGCCGTTCACCCGCTGACCGCTGCGCAAGGTCGTTCACTGCTGACCGCTGCGCGAGACCGTTCACCGCTGACCGCTGCACGAGACCGTTCACTGCTGACCGCTGCGCGAGGCCGTTCACCCGCTGACCGTTGCGCAAGGTCGCTCACTGCTGACCGCTGCGCGAGACCGTTCACTGCTGACCGCTGTACGATTGAACCGAATGATGAAAGCTAAAGCTGTTGCATGATTTCACACTGCACTTATTGGATGAATGAATAATGAATGGTTTTAACGTAATGATTTGGTTTTAATTGTTTTCTTGTAATCGCTCATTGCTACAATATGGGCACGTATTCGGTGACAAAAGACCGCTAGCGACTCCTTGCGGTTGTGTTCATTGCGCTAGACAAGTCACCTTTTGGCACAGAATTCTCCCCAGGCCTTGGTAGACCTAAACCAATATATCATGTTTTATTGTTATAAATTTCTTCCTCAATATGCCTCTAACTACCTTACCATAGCTACCTTCCTATGGTGTGTCACGAGAAACTTTTTCAGACGTTTTCGCTGTAACAAGAAGACATTGGAAGGCAACAGAAACTTTTAAACTTGGTAGCATTGTCGACCGTAGTCATTCGACAAGGTCATCTGAGCAAATATTGAAAAAGTAGTAATATTTCAACCGTTCAGCGCCTATGATACCTTAATGGTAGCTCTATGGAGTCAACATTTTTTGCTAGTGCAGGCACAACTGAATTTGCGAAAACATTTTCGTAGACCTAACCACTTGGACCCTCCAGGTCGGTCTACTTGCTCGTCACCAGTACAGCGTGGCTGAGTGTGGGGTGAGCAAGAGCGAGGACTTGCTTTTAATTGAGGGAAAAGCAGATGATCTGCCGCGTGCCATTGGTCGACGTAGCCAAATTTAGCCGATACATGTTCAAATGATACACCCAGCCCTTTATTGACTAGGAGGAAACTTAATGTCTCGGCCGGCAGCGCCTTCCTCGCAGCACAGTGGCTACATGCATCACAATATAACCTCTGCACAAACCTTCCCCGCCGGGCCAAACCCGCAGTTGCCAAACAGCCAGAGCCAATACAACTGCTTTGGCAGCATTCATCCATCGTTCGTCCAGAGCAAATGGCTCTTATTTTGCAGAGCCGCTTTAAACAGTGTGCGAGACAGTGCTGCGTCAGGAGACCCCGGGAATGCTTGTAACGCAGCACTGCCCCAGGAGAGCCCGGCCAGGACTGTATGGTACCGCTGTCTCAGGAAAGCCAGGGTTGGCCGCGCAACGACCGCGCCAGCATCGCCCGGCTGTCCTCGTATGCAGCTGAGGGCAACGTCGGAAGCCCATGATTGGCCCATCTCTCAGCCGGCCTATTTCAGGAGCCGGCCTCGATCAGCACACACTGATTGGCGGCGGAAGTGGCGCACTCTGCGGCGCGGCGGCTCTGATGGGGACGCTGACGGTGGTGGGTGGTGGTGGCTGACGGCGACAACTGAAATGGACGCTTGAGCCCAGGAGGCTATGCGCCCTAATCCAGGACAAGACAAGACGGTGGTGGGAACGGATCCGCTGGCAGAGGAAAATAAGGCGCGCCGGAGATCAGCCAGCACGCTGGCCAGCATGATTTCTCTTTCGTTTATCCGTGACAGTTTTAATTATCACGATATCCTCAGTTGCTGTAACTTCAATGACAGCTTTCGGTATCACAGCAGCTTGCGTGAAACGCGTTCTTAGTTGTCCTCAATGTCTTCCGTTTGGGCAAGCTCGCCCCCTGGTTAGCCAACTCTGTCCGCCGTCTGTACGATCGAGCCTTGCGGGCCCACCAACGCAACAACGCAACGCAGCTCAGGAGTGGTGATTGTATGGCTGTAAGGCGATCGTTTGCGTTCATAGCAAATCCAGCTATGATTCACAACCCAATGTCTTAATGCGGTCGCAAGAAGCTGGCGAGCAACTCACTACGAATTAATCGCTGCGTGTTCCATCCCATGCGGAAGGTTTCGTTTGAGAAATGTCATTACCCATCTAAAAAAATCCTAGCACATGTTACACCATATTTAAATGAGACCTATACCTACGAGGCATGATAGTCATTGATAACATACTATAACCAAAATACATGAGAAATAGTCTAGAGTACATAGAATCACGTGCTAAGCATGCACAAGATAATGACGGTGCGGGCTAAGAAAAGGCAGCGGTACCAGAGATTGCCGTCTTTTTACTTCTTGAACTGCGCTGAAGTGCTTACGCTAAATACCTCTCCACAATGTCTGCTGCTAAATGGTGGAATCTGCACCCTGGATCAGCGCCATAGACGTTTGTTAACAAGACGTGCACGACGTGCACGAAAGGGCCAGACGTGCCTATTCTCAGTAAGTGGGTGCGCATTCGTCATAACAGCCGCCTATGCCTTTCATTGTGCACGCTACGGAAGACCACCTGTCAGGGCAGAGCCCCGTTCCGCTCGGTTAGAGCGGTCACCTCTCTCACCGTGGCCTTCTCTTGAATGGCCCTGGCCGCCACTCGCTAGATCAGGCTTGCCTCCTCTGGAGATGAAGGTACCGGCCGTGGATACATGCTCCTCCTCGGGACAGGTCAAGTCTTTCTCCACAAAAGTGCGATGCCGCTCGGCGAAAGGCGGAGAGGAGAGGGAAAGGGGAGAGGGAGAGGGAGAGGGAGAGGTAGGGAAGGGAGGAAGAGGGAGGGGAGAGGGAGAGGGAGGGGAGAGGGAGGGGGGATGGGGAGGGGGAGGGGGAGGGAGAGGTAGGGAAGTGAAGGGAGAGGGGGGAGGGAAGAGAGAGGAAGGGGTTGGGGAGGAAGAGGGAGGGGGAGGGGAGGGGAGGGTTGGTGCCGTCTACAGTGGCGTCATCTTGTCCCGGTACGCTCGGTCACGTTCGCCATCAGCCCGCCGTCGCCCAGCCGGCACACTGGACGACGTCCGCCGCACATGGGACCCCTGGGACCCTGCTCCCGTGTCAGCGCCGCTGATGTATCGCCGGATCAGCCAGCCGGCGGAGATTGCAGATGTAACAAAGGCCGGGCAGGATACGGACCGGTTTTTTTCGCACGGAATTGTTTGCGTTGAGCAGTTTCTGGGATCTGTCTTCACCACATGCGTATGCAAAAGTCCACCTCCGTCGTCGGCCGTCCGTTATTGCCTTTGAATGGCTAAAAGCATCCCAAGCTGCAGCAATAGCCGCCGACTACCGCCATATCAACGCTCTGTATTCTGTGTAGTGGGGCTGCCAAAGAAGTCACCCTATGCGCCATGAGCTGCATCTCAGCGTACCCAGCGTATCCATGGACGGAACCAGCGCTATGGTCGGTGGGTCCCTGATGAACCAGCGCTAAGGTCGGTGGGTCCCTCATGAACCGGGGCTTAAGTCGGTAGGACCCCCTGAATCAGCACTGACGTCGGTGGGTCCCTCCTGAACGCAGATATTTTCGAGAAGCGATCCTGGAAGTAATAAAACAGTTTTCGACCCGGAATAATAAAAAGGGTCCAGTCATCAAAGCAGACAAACACTGCAGACAAGCAGACTGGAGTCGACAAACACTGCAAGCTTGGCCACACCCTTCCTCGCACCTCACAGCCAGCCAGGTCTCCACGTTGGGCTGCTCCTCTGTTGCAGCGAGGCGGCCGAGTACTTGGCGTCAGCCGGCAACCGCCTGTCTCGCCGCGAACTCCGGCTGACCGAGGAGAACGTGGCTGCCCTGCAGGCCGAGTTCTGGGACATTCCCCTCAACTTCCCCGACAAGTGCGACATCGTCGGCGCATCCACCAAAAACCGATACAAGTGAGCGCCGCGCGGCCGGCTGCCGTCACCGGGCGGCAAGCGCGCCAGATTTCCGCACCAAGCTGCAATCTGGCTCGCACGTTGTTTTTCAATGTTTTCGGTTAATCAGCACGGCTGCTCTACAGGGCAGCTGTCCATGATTATTTTCGGTAAAGAGCGTGCAGGCTGCTTGCTTGCGTCACAAGACAGATGTCCATGGTGAGCCGAGCGGGATGCTGGGACGGGACAGGACAGGACAGGGCAGGACAGGACGCAGTGGTGCGGGCGGCAGCTGCTACTCTGAATGTCAGCGAGGTGACTGGACCGTCGTTGCAGGACGGTCATGCCGAACGAGCATACGCGCGTCACACTGCCGGGAGTTAATGAAGACCCGCTCAGCTCCTACATCAACGCCAACTGGATCCGGGTAAGTGTGACGTCATGCGATCAGTAAGCAGATCCGCAATCCTGGAGCGGATCCGCGATCCGTGAACTGATTGGTAGAACATTTGCGCGGCACCATCGATATCCTCTCTGAGATTTATTCACTCGTTTTTTGTATTGACGCGCGAAGTGCGAGTAGAACGTGCCACGGAATATGACATCATCAACACAAACAGAGGAATATGCAATGATTCAGCAGCAGTCACCGAAGCATCGCCTGGCTCAGCCTGTGGCGAGCTACCGGTCTGCTCCGTGACCGCACAAAGTAGGAGCGACGGACCTTTGAAAGGTTTCTCGGCCGCAGAGGAGTGCAGTCGCAGATGAAAGTTGTGGCTCGATTAGTTCGGGCTCCTAGAACTTCCCACCCCCGCATTCGTTAGTGTACACGTCATGACGTCGCCACGGAAGGTCATGACGTCATCACGGTGGGGTGACCTGGCCCTGGCTCTAATGACGGTTCACCGAGCGGCGCCCGGCAGCCACGCCCTGCATTGTGCCGTGCGACTGACGTGTCACGTTGATATAGATCGCCGCCATCAGTCATGAGGTTCGGTCAGTGACCTTTTGCGGGCGCGGGTCTGACCCGAAATTATCAGGCCCAAAATAGAGCAACAGCTGCGGTACGTGCATTGTGACATGAAATGATCTATTTGATCGCGGCAACCACACGCGTCAAAATGGCGTCAAAGTTGTCACCGAAACATGCAAAAGCCTTTTCTTTGGCATCATCCGTATCTTCTAACAATAGCGTGTGACTTCCGTAAGCCATCAGATAGGCATCACCAGACTCAGCTGTGTCTGCTGGAAAATTGTTCAGAACTGAAAACAACAAACGACTATCAGTACAAATAAGCAGAATATGACATATATGCGCTTTGCTTCCTTAGTATCACCATACGGCAGACTGTTCTGGCTGACTATGCTGGTGCTAATGATGTTGTTAACGTTGGGTGCATTTTGAGAAATAAATGTAAATCGTTATAGCTAGTTATGTTCACATAAGTTGCGATGGACGGAAATCCCGTCTCTTGAGGCATGATCAAAAACAGAAGTGTGGCCTAACCAGATTTAGTCTAGCAAGGCTTATGATAACAACACTTAGCTTCGATGTCAAGAAGTAAAACTCAGTCAAGCAAAAGTGGTTTGGAGCGATAATATTTTTAGTTTTACAAGTATATCACATGACAAAGCTGTCATGCATGTGTTATGCTTGTATTTTTTCTACATATTTCTTTTGTGCATTGGTATAACATTTCCTTTACTGTCACATTTCATCATGTAGTATTATGCACAGCGTCCACAGCTATGACTTAATTTATGTATTGGAAGCGCTTGGAAGAGACACCAGACCCTCATAGGGGGGGGGGGGGGGGGGGGGGAGGGAGAGGGGTGTTTTTTCTATCACCACGAGTCTCGCTACTGCGCCACGCCATGGAAAGAGAACTGTATTACCGCCAGCACTGGGCCCAACCTTTTTGTATTACGCCAGAAATGACGCCTTTTTTTATTACGCCACGCGTCAGAAATGCCATCAATGCGGTCTGACCACGAATCCTGTTTCACAAAGCTGCTTGCGGTCAAGGGCGCGTGAAGGACCTTGGGGTTGGTCCAGACGCTGGCTCAAACCAAAGGTCAGAGCACAGGCGACGGACGTGGTCCCCACTGGACAAAAGAGGGCCGGTGGTTATTTGTTTCCCCTGGTCTAGCAGCATAGCAATGTACGTGGGCCCGAACACATACCAACGCATGATTAACGCACGGCTGTCTGTAACTCTGCCTGTCGCATAGAAAACAAATGTTTACCAGTGAAAAGACTTCACAAACACAACAGAAGATGCTCGTCAGACGCAGTATGTCAAGCAATCATTGATACAATCAATAATTTATTCAGCTAATTGATCACCATATGTAATGGACACACACACACAACACAAACGCACCACACACACACACACACACATCAACACAACACTCACACCCACACACACACACACACGCACCACATCACATCCACACACACACACACACACACACACACACACACACACACACCACACCCACACAACACAACACACAACACCCACAACACACACACACCACACAGACACACAACAACACAGACACACACCCCACACACACACACACAACACACACACACACACCAAACACACAACACACACACCACACACACAACCCACACACACACACACACACACACACACATGTCGTCAGACGCAGAGTGCAAGCAATCATTGAGTACAATCAGTGTGTGGTGTGTGTGTGTTGTGGTGTTGTGTGTGTGGTGTTGGGTGTGTGTGTGTGGTGTGTGTTGTGTGGTGTGTGTGGGTTGTGTGTGTGTGTGTGTGGGGTGTTGTGTGGGTGTGTGTGTGTGTGTGGTGTGTGTGTGTGTGTGTGTGTGTG